TGCAGTCCTTGCTTCTCTGCCCCATGCTATGTCATTGGCTGCAGCTTGCAAGGGCGAGAACTCTCAGAAAGAATGTCCTACTATGGTAATATCATGCCATCAAAGGAGAGATGAAGTTGCCTGGGATTGCCTTTTTCAACTGCAACCACACATACGATTGCATTCAACTAATATTTAATCAAGACAATGGACTCTGTAATGAATGAAACTCTGTTAAACATGGCCATTGATTTCAGTGGGTCTACTCTGAATAAATGGAGGCAGTGAGAGATTTTACTTTCTTGGGCTCCATGATCAACTGCAGATGGTGACAGCAGCCACGAAATTAAAAGATGCCGCTTCTTGGGAGAAAAGCAATGACAAACCTAGACAGCATCTTAAAAAGCAGAGACATCACCTTGCCAACAAAGGTCCGTATAGTTAAAGCTATGGTTTTCCAAGTAGTGATGTATGGAAGTGAGAGCTGGACCATAAAGAAGGCTGATCGCCAAAGAATTGATGCTTTTGAATTATGGTGCTGGAGGAGACTCTGGAGAATCCCATGGACTGCAAGAAGATCAAACCTATCCATTCTGAAGGAAATTAGCCCTGAGTGCTCACTGGAAGGACAGATCCTGAAGCTGAGACTCCATTACTTTGGCCACCTCATGAGAAGAGAAGACTCCCTGGAAAAGACCCTGATGTTGGGAAAGATGGAGGGCACAAGGAGAAGGGGACGACAGAGGACGAGATGGTTGGACAGTGTTCTCGAAGCTACCAGCATGAGTTTGACCAAACTGTGGGAGGCAGTGGAAGACAGAAGTGCCTGGTGTGCTCTGGTCCATGGGGTCATGAATAGTCGGACACGACTAAACGACTAAACAACAACAACAACAATATTTAATCAAGACAATGGACTCTGAAATGAATGAAACTCAGTTACACATGGCCATTAATTTCAATGGGTTTACTCTGAATAAGGTCTAGGGCTGCAAGCCTAACCACACTTACCTAGGCACATCATATTTAATTCTGGTTAAACAAAGTTAGGATTGCACCATAATTTTGGCTTCAGTAACTGCCTGTAAGCATCTTTTTGTTTTATTGATATATTTATAAAGGCCAACTTCTTTGCTCTACTCTTATCAAGTCACTCAAGATGTGATGGGAATCTTTTCTCAAATGCGGTCTTAAGTTCATTCGCCGTGCCTTCTTCCAACCATCTATCACACAGAGTGAGTCGAATTATGTATGGCTGTTACTCTATTATGCATTCAGCTGAATGTGTTACCTTAATTAGGGCATCGTGATTTAATACATGCAAATGCGTTTGGTACAGGAGCCGTCCTTTATTTATAGAATGCAACTCTTTGGCTTTTGATATTAACCAAGGAGGAGCACTGCAGTCTGTCTTCTCTCCTGCTGAAAAACATCTCAGCTTTGCCCGCTCCCAAGTCTCAAAAGCAGCTGTTTCCTAGGTGTGCAATTTAAGTAGACCGTTCAGCCCAATTTTCTGCATGTTTATTTAGAAGTAAATCTGACTGAGAACTCCCAAGTATGGGAGTGTAGGATTGCAGCCTAAATCACACTGAAACAAATGTGGCTTGCAGCACAATCTTCTGCATGTTTACTCAAAAGTAAATCCCACAGTCTTCGCTGGGAGCCCCTCAAGATGTCCTTTTTTATTGGACATTCATCACCATTTGTGCTCATGATGCTGTTTGGGGGTAGTTATATGTGATTGTGCTGTCAATACAATTGCATGCCCTGTAGCTTCCTGCAATAATGATAATGATGATGATGATGATGATGATGTTGATGATATAAAAATCCTGTAACAATTTATACTACAAGTTCACCAGTTGTTGCTTTCTTTAGTCCCACATTTAATGCGCTATGGTGCAAGAATGCCTTAGAAAAATGTATCCACTTTTTGTGATGTAGCTACTCCCACATACTTCCTGTTGGTATAATATACGGACATACCCACCCCTTGAAAATGAGCAATATTTTAGCACAGCAATCACAGCCTAATCATAAAAGCTGAAAGTGTAGAACTATGGTGGCATGGCATTATAGCACAAATAACATGCTGTAGGGAGGGGGGTGGGATTGGGGGTGGCCAATGGAATAGGTAAAGGTAAAGGACCCCTGACATTGACTTACTAGGTGTAACATGGAGGGAGGAGAAGGGCAAGGGCTGCATATCAGTAGGTAACGATTCATCATCATCATCATCATTTATTATTCTTTATATGCTGCTCGCCTGACTGGGTTGCCCCAACAAAAAACAGTAAAAGCACGATACAACCCCATACACTGATAACTTCCCTGAACAGGGATGCCTTCTTGCATGTGTGTATGTGATTCATGAAGAGTAAGGCTGTCAATGGCCATTAGCCATGATGAGGAACTTCTGACTCCTAAGTTCCTGAGGAACTTCTAAGCATAGCTGTCAACTCTTCCCTTTTCTTGCGAGGAATCCTATTCAGAATAAGGGAATTTCCCTTAAAAGGGGGGGGGAGTTGACAGCTATGCTTCTAAGCTCATACCAATAACAAACTTAGTTGGTCTCTAAGGTGCTACTGGAATGAATTTTTCTATTTTGTTTTGACTATGGCAGACGAACACGGCTACCTACCTGTTACTTCTAACTCCTCTGTGGGAGCAATTCTCTCTCTCAACACCAGTTGCTGCGTATCACAAGTATGGAGACTGCTGTTACACGCAGGTCCTGCCTGGGGGCTTCCCTTGGCATCTATTTGACCTCGGTGAGAACAGAATGGAGGACTAACTGGCCTGATCTGTGGCGTGATCTGGCAGAGCTCCTCTTAAGTTCTTAAATTCTGTCTGGTGCTCCCATCCAAAGCATGCCGTGTCTTGGGGTTAGCTAGCAGGTAAAGACAGAAGGAGAACTGAAAGAGCCAATGAACCAAAAGTCAGTTATTACTACGTCCCATCAAAGTGAATGAAAATGAAACACGCAGTTGAATTATTTTGCTGGAAAGTCTTATTAACTCAGGTTCTGCTTGCAGGTTTCCCAAGAGGTCTCTGGTTGGCCACGGGAAGAACAGGATGCTGGACTAGATGGATCTATTGCCTCATCCACCTGACAGGCATTTCTTATGTTCTTATGGCAGACGTCAAGAAGACACCATCATCATTTATTATGTATACCCCACCCATCTGGCTGGGTTTCCATAGCCACTCTGGGTGGCTCCCAACAGAATATTAAAAACACGATTAAACATTAAAAACTTCCCTAATCAGGACTGCTTTCAGATGTCTTCTAAAAGTCAGATAATTGTTTATTTCCTTGACATCTGATGAGAGGGCATTCCACAGGGTGGGCACCACTACTGAGAAGGCCCTCTGCCTGGTTTCCTGTAACCTCACTTCTCACAGTGAGGGAACCACCAGAAGGCCCTCAGAGCAGGACCTCAGTGTCTGGGCTGAATGATGGGGTTGGAGACAATCCTTCAGGTATACTGGACTGAGACCGTTTAGGGCTTTAAAGGTCAGCACCAACACTTTGAATGGTGCTCGGAAACGTACTGGGAACCAATGTAGGTCTTTCAAGACCGGTGTTATATGGTTTCAGCAGCTACTCCCAGTCACCAGTCTAGCTGCCGCATTCTGGATTAATTGTGGTTAATCACCTTCAGAGGTAGCTGTTTCCTGTCCAGGAGGGCCTAGTCACACCCCTGGGAAAGCAGGCAAGTCCAGGACCTGACCTGAGAGTAAGCCTGAAGGAAAGGACTATCTTGTTACAGATCTTTGCAAGCTATCCTGGATCTTCTTGCTGAAGTGGAGTAAACAAAAAAATGCTTAAAATCAATCAAGCTGTCTAGGCAGGTGCTGCAATGCCCAGTCAGTGGCTCGTCACAATGGAGCAGCCAACCTGAGTCC